CAACTGGGCCACCAAAACCCAGTGAACATCAGCACTGATGCCTAATTGTGTGTTCCAAGGTTCTGATACATTATCCCAGTTAATTTGACTGGTGGGTGCCTTGTCTTGCTAGATCTGATGTACCTGAATATTCATCCGATCGCCTCATGTACAGAGGGCAGAGATTCAACCCACAGCTTTAGCACTATCAGCAATAATCAGGAAGAGAGGAAAACACATTTGCACACTAAATTCCATGGACAGAGTTCCCAGGACAATTAAATTCCGACTGCAGAATCAGGAATACAATATGCAACAGGGTAAAACATGGGTTTATAATTATAGTGAAACCAGAATTGCTGTAATCTAGACATGTTCAGAATGATGGAACACATTCAAAATCTGCATTGTTATTATCTTCTAACCCAATTTACTACAAGAGTTGATTTTCCAGTCCATTTCTCTGAGTGAGAATCGCTGGGATGGAGTACCTAAAATATTTACTCACATTTATTCCAATATTTGTGTACGGATTCAAGCAGTTCTCATCTCTAAAATTCAAAGGTATCTCTCTCACACTCATTCTTTTGTATCCTGCTGCCCAGTAGAGCCTCTCAATGCATTCTCCCAAAATATGAGGTGATGTATTGGTGTCATTTCCCCCTTCTAGACACCTTGAGATGATGGTTCTTCAGAGAGCAAGCGGTGCTGAAGCTCATAAAATGACAGGAAAAGGGCTTTCATGGAAGGTTAATTTATGCTGCCATCACCTGGGGTAAAGACAAAGGCTTTTATGCAGTGTCTGCAAACAGGGTAGCAAAGGGAGGTCCCAATTCAAGAGCAGGAAACAAGATGCTACCACAATCCAGTACAAATGATCTTGAAAGTCATATTTAGAGCTAAACTGAGAACAGCTGATTGGTTTATTCAGTTATGGAATAGAAGTAATTTTACTGCTTTTGTTCATTTGTTAACTGAGGGGAGAGAAACTGCATATTCTACTTGGCTGAAAAACCTGCAGGAATCAAAATGTGGCTGGAAAAAAACCCTGTGTAAAATTGCTTTGATTTTTACCTAAGAATCAGACTAAAAGAAGTACAATTGCCAGATATTTTTAAATGTAGTTCATCTGACAGCACAATCATACAGGCTCTGAGAGCTCAGGTGGGTCACCTGTGTGAGGACAAAGGAAAGGGAAGCACTGGGCCCTTTGCAGAACGGGGCTCTTTTGGGAGCGTTCAGGCAAGAAAAGGATCAGGTGGGATGGAGCTGTTCCTCAGCTGATGGTTGAGATCGAAAAAGATACCCCATAATCAAATTTATATAAAGGCAAGAGTCACTACTGAGACCTCCAAATCTGAATTCCTGTTTAACACTTAACATCAGTAGCTTTGCTCAGAACTCAAAGCTCCATCTGAGCTGTGTTCTGCATGGTTCATAGGATTGGATTTGGTGTGGGACCATCAGGTATCATGGGAATGGCTTTTTCCCCCAGTCTCTCAGTGCTGGTGGTAAATGTCCAGCCTGTGGGGGGTTTGTGTGGGCTTTAAATAAGAAAGGTTCAGCCTTGTCCTTATTCACTGATGCTGGAGACCTGGGATTCAGCATAGAACACCCTGGATATATATTTATTTATTTTGCAAATATTTGAACCGCTGTGCTTCCATTAAAGCTGGATCTGATACCTTTTGTCAGCAATCTACACCATGATCTTAGTGCAGCTCCAGCCTTTGCAGTTCTGGGACGAGGTGGAGCCCCAGTGTCCCACTACACACAGAACCTTGAATCCAGCTTTGGAAAATCCAGCTCCTCTTCAGTAAAATTCACAACATGCTGTGGCCTTCCTTTGTCCATTGTGACACACCCTGTGTGTGGAAAGAAAGCAAAAATATTGTCATGCTGCATTTTTTGCTGAGTAAAACATTTCTAGAGGTGCCACTGGGATAAATTTTTTAGTTAGCATTCCAAGCCTTCCAAAACCGTCTTCAGCTTAGCATTTGGGCATCCTCATCTATTAATTTCTATTAAAGAATCATTTGAGTTTCCCTTCAGCACTTATTTTTTATTCCTGCAGGGGATTTCTAATGTTGAGGGCTGTGGTGGTTGCCCAAAAAGACTAATTTGGTATCTACAGGGTCTTTTTTTCCTACGGTGGATTTCATCCCTCACTCCTTTTCTAATGCAGCAATTTGCAGGAATATAGAACCCTGGGGCTCCACTTCCTGAATCCAGAATCAAAGTTATTGCATAGAATGTAAAGATTTCCACTGCCCAGAGTTACTGGAAGGCTGTATCTCCCTTTGTAACTAATCTCCATGGCTAGAAACAATGCAATTATCTGCCCCTACACATGATCACTGAATCTACATTATTTTAAGCAGCTTCCAATCTTGAATCTTGCTGCTTAATACATGGGAATGAGCATGTAATGCAATTCAGGGATCAAAGTCAACATTTGCTGCATTGCCAATGTTATTTATTATAAAAAGAAAGAAAAAAAAAAAAAGGGAGAGATTGAGAAAAATGACATGCACAAAGAGGATAAAAATGCCTTCTTCTAGAAAACTGAGTTACTGAAAGAGATCCAAAGACTTTGGTAATTTGGTTTGTGTTGAAGTAACCATAACACATCCATCAAGATTACCCAAGCCTGGTGAAATGGCAAATCACATTAACTTGTTAGGCCACCAGGTCAGATTTGTCAAACTGAGGGAGCAGAGGCAGGAGAGCACAGATGATTTGTTTGAGCATGGAGCCCTAAATTTTCCTCATGTGAACTGGGATGCCATTCTATGGATGCTGAGTGGCATCCTCTGAGTGCTTCGTTGCTCTCTGGGTGTATGGAATGAACCCAAATAAATGTTTTATTAACACTGATGCTGGAAATGCACAGAGGAAAGCTTTGCAAATGAACAGCAATAGCAGGTTTTGGTGACAGGACCAAACTGAAGTGAGGGACACCCTTTCTGAGTGCCAGCTACTGCATTTCCTTCAGAGAGTGCTACCTCCACTCAGATGTCAAGAAATCTACTGTTCCACCGGTCCAACCCCTAATCTGCACCATGAAACCTTTTAGCTCCCCCATCATTATTTTAACTGTGGCCTTATTTTCCCAGTATATGTCTTAAAGTGTGTAGATTTCAGCTCTTTAAGGTTGCTTTTGATTTAGTTCACCACCCAGTCAATCGGGGTCAAAGGAATAGATGCTGTGACTGAAAACTGAGAATGAATCTTCCTCGGGGTTCTGGCATCACCTTGGAGTTTCAAAGTGGATGAACATTGTAGAGGACAAACTTGTGATTTGATTTCTAGTTCATCATTGTTCTGTGTTAATAAAAACCTGAAATAGTCAAGAATTGAAAGCCCATGGTTGGAAAAAGCAGTTTTTAGAGACAATTTCTGTTTGCAGAGGTGTCATAATTTGCTTGGCTCACACTCAGCACTTCACATTTTTGTTCAGTGTGTCACTGGGAAACATGTGGTAATACAGCTTTTTCTGGCAGGGCTGGAGCCACTCCAGTATCACTTTTCCTGCAGTGATGAAATCTGCCTCAAAAATTCTGTCCTCAAAAATGTGATTCCCATTGGAAGTGTGGAATGATGTGTAGGCAGGGGGTGATGAGTGCTCTGATAAAGGGATTAAAATAAGGAACTGCAGGCCTGGCCATGCATTGCTGTCGTCATTGCTCCCTCTGGAAGACAGGGAAGGTATTGGAATATTGAACTTGCCAAGTGCTGGTGTGTATTCCCCATCTTATTTTCAAACAGGCAGGCTTGGATATAGCTGCTGTGGTTTGAGGAAGGAAGGACTGAGCCTTGGTGTTTTTTAGTACCCTATCAACCCTGAGAGTGGCTGTGCCCATGGCAATGTTAACCAGAATTCCTTGTAAGTTTTTCCATTACTATGTTTGAGACTCAGGAGAAAGACTTCCCAACTTTTTTATAGCTGTAGTTTATAAATACCCCTATAAATATCTGTACCTATGACAAAGAAAGGAATCTATAAATGATGAAAAATAACACAAAAAAAAATACAAAAAGTGTGGACAAAAGAGCAGATTCTGGTAGATTTGCTCACTGTGGTTAATATCTTATTCATTAAAAAAAAAATTCCATTTTCAAATTCCAGCAGGGTTTTTTTTCCTGCTATGTCTTGCCATGCCATTTGCCAGTTGATGGCCCCACTCACCCTGGTGATTCACAGTCACTCTGCGATCAGATAAGAGAGCCAGGTCTTCCTGCACCTCTGTCATTTCTGCTTGTACCAGAAATTCTTGTTACTCTCCCTTAAGTGAACAGTTGTGCATTTTGTGCTCTCACATTTCATCCTGTTTCCATTGTTCCAGTTGTAAATGTCACCCAAACTGTCCTGCAGGATATTCCTCTCCTTCACATTGAGGATGTCTCAAAATTACATTTCAGAACCAAATGTCACGAGAATCGTCCCAAGCTTTTGTGTCAGCTTTGTAATTAAAAACTTATATAAAATACAACACTAATCCATAAGAAAATTCCACCAGCAATCCTCCTCACTGACTAGAGATTTAACCTGATGGACTCTCTCTGGAGTCAGTGGGAGAAATTTTTCTTATTGGTAGTTCTTATTGTGTTGCAGGCGAGGAAAATGACCTGGGCAGTGAGAAGGGAGAGCTAAAATCAATGGTAACTCCTCAGATGCTGAAAGTTAACCATGTGCTCAATTTTTTAGCTGTAAATATCAGAGGGAAAATCTCTCTCTTAAAACTTTTTTGCCTTGAGTGGAATCTTGTTGCCTGTGCATCCTGTTGCCAGAGCAACCTGTACTGGCAGTGGAACAGCAGCAAAGATCAGCTGCTGCTTTCAGAACAGACACAAGGACTTAAATGTGTGCATTAGGTTGGATATTTTTTTTTTTTTTTTGGTATCCTCATTATCTAGTTCCACTTTCCTTATTTCATAAAAATAAGGATTTTTATTTTTTTTTTTCCCACTGCAGAAATTAGTTGGGAACAGTGAACAGGATTCCTCAGGAAGTAACATCCAGTATAGGAGCTTTTGCTAATTGTTTAATAGTGAACACTATTATGTGAAACGTGCAGGGAGGGGCAATGTAATGGTGTCAACCTGATGTCCACACCCAAAATTGTGACTGATACAGCTTGTGATGGAGTCAAGAAGACTTGAAGGCAAATTCACCGAAACCTTTTCTGATTCAGTCTTTGATCCCCAGCTCTGCTCAGATCACAGGTCCTACCTGCCTCAAACTTCCCAGCTTTAACTACCCCTGGAAACATAAAGGCAGCTCAAAGCACACCAGTAGGTGATTCCCATCTGAACAGAATTCAGGCACTACATTTCTGTCTTGTGCAGCTGAACCTCCTCACTCCCACACTCCAGAGCCAAATCAATCAGATGTTTGGTTAGACTTTGACTTTCCATAGTTTGCTCTGCTGCTGTGGAAAAAAAAAAAACACAACAGAATTAATAAAATTATACCTGACAATATCTGGCTCTGTTGGGTTTTGTTCAGTACTGTTATAATAACAATACCAAGTACTAAAAATTGCCAGTCTTAAACAATTGCTGCACCACAGAGAACAAATAAACCCACACATAAACAAATACTGAAGGATTATCTTCACTTAAAATACAATGCAGATTATAGTAGAACATATACAAGATTTTAATGTTCCATACAATTAAGTCTTCTGCTGTGCTGTAAACCTTACTGAATATGCTGTGGGAAAATATTACAAAAACTAGTCAACTATTCCCAGCAGACTTTGAATGCTTTTTTTTTTGTGTAGCTGCATAAATTAGAATGAATTTTCTTTCATTGTAGACAGTAAAAAGGAGGATTAATATGGAAATCTTTTCCAGTGAAAATTTCTATCAAGAATATAGAAAACACAGTGCAATGCTGAGCAGATAATCTGAAGAACCTCTTGGCTTTTGACATTTTTGGAGGCGCTGTGGGCTTTCTCTTCAGGACCTCTGACACGAGTTTTGTACTACTTACAGTATTTCTCAAACACCCTTCTATTTGATCCAGAGCAATCAATGCAGAGATAGCAGCTGATATTTTTATCCTTTTTGATGTAAATTGTGTAAATCTCTGCTCGTGGACAGTTTCATCAGAAGGGCTTTTCAGTCCGGAAATTGCTGTGTTCCCTTCCTTAGGGTTAATCCCATCTCCCAGCATATGGTGAGGCAAAGGATCTGGGAAGCAGGAAAGGGCCCTTACGTAATCTGGGCAGTGTTGATGTGTTTGAAGCTGGGGTTGTGTGTGACTGGACTCATCCTGCAGGACTGGGGTCGCCCTGGAGTTCCTCAGGAGCACAGACCAGCTCAGCAGACACCGCAGCACTTCGCCAGAGTGCAGAACTGCACTCAGGGTGTGAACAACCCTCTGAGCCCGGGGGGGAGGGACAGCCCCGAGCAGTGGTGTTAATTTTGATCACACAGTCACAGAATCACTGAGTGTGCTGAGTTGGAAGGGACCAAAAAGGATCATTGAGTCCAACCCTTGGCCCTGCACAGGAACATCCCCAAGAGTCACACCCTGTGCCTGAGAGTGTCACCAAACCCTCCTGGAGCTCTGGCAGTCTTGGTGCTGTGCCCACTGCCCTGGGGAGCCTGTTCAGTGCCATCCTCTGGGGGAAGAACCTTTTTCTAATACCCGACCTAACCCTGCCCTGACACAACTCCAGGCCATTCCTTGGGTGCTGTCCCTGGTCCCCACAGAGCAGAGCTCAGTGCCTGCCCCTCCTTTTCCCTCCCGAGGAAGTTGGAACTGCAGTGAGGTCTCCCCTCAGTCCCTGCAGCATGAGGTCCATGTTTTTCCCTACCAGGCAGCACTAACCAGAGGCCACTCTTTATGCTGGGAAGCAAAAAATACAGATATTCTCCCAGGTCATCTTTTCAGACTGATCAATTGTGATGAAAACAGAAAATACAAGGAAGGTTTTCCCACTCCACGAGCTGCAATGCAAGAGAATTTAGGACTTATCCAAGTTAAAGACATTCGTAAAATTTAATTCATATCTACCCAACCTAAATAAAATGAATTCTTTCCAGATTATTAATTTCCAATATTCTACAGCTCATTGCTTCTCCATTCATTCATTAAATACAGAAAACCAAACCCAAAGACGTCATTTCACACCAGTTTTCTGACAGCTCTCAGCGTATTGCAAGGGATTGCAGCTTTGGCCCACAATTTTAAGTGAATTATTCACAATTCAGACCAGGGCTGAAGTGTAAAGTCCTAAATGTGTTTGCTAAGAACTGAAATTCATCCCAGCCTGGTTTCTGTCCTCTCAGCTTCTCACATCGTGCCTTCCATGGATGTTTGGAGAATTACTTGGAGGGTCAGTTGGAAAAACAGGTTCAAATGTACCTGTAAGCCTGAATGGTTCTGCAAGAACCTGTCTAATATTATTCACCATTTCAAGCACAGTTGCTGAGGTTAATTAGATTTATGACCCCTAAAAATTTTAAGTGTCCCTGATGACTTTCTTGCCAACTGATAATTTGGTGTGAGAAACAGAAAAAGAATAACAAATAGACTATGAATAAATAAACTCCTGATATTCACTCATATGAGGACAGAGAATATGTTTCTGACATTTAATTAAATATCCAAACGTCCACAAGATCTATAATAAACCACTTTGCAAGACATCCAAATGTCAGAGAAAAACACATTTTTGTGAAGTGTGGGGTTTTTTTACCACTGAAGCTGTGAAGATACCACATTCTTTTAAAAAGACACAGAAAAAAACAAGCACATATTTTATCTTGAAAGTACTTTTTTGAAGGCTTCTGAACAGCCAGTTGCTTGCAGTATGATGAGTGGAATTATTCTAATTTATCACACAGGAGTTGGAAACATTAGTTTTACAGATATTCCATGTTGTTCTAGCTGAGTTCATGTCCTGAGACTTAGGCAAAACACTGGCAACATTAAGTTGATTCTCTTCCCTGAGTTCACCTGGAACATTTCACTGAGATCTGAAAATTTTTTTAACCTATATTTAAGTGCTGCAGAAAACCTGTTCTGAGCTATTCACATGCACGTTAATTCTTCCTTCCTTTTTTCATCAAAATCTTGGCAACATCCTCTAACCCCTCAAGGGATGTAAAAGGAACTTCATCCTTCTGAAGGCACCCTTTGGCTGGGATCTCCTTCCTGGAACTGCAGGGAAATGTAGAAGGTCCTAAAGGGGGGGCAGAAGGAAAAGCTGCAACTCTTTTCTTTCCCTCACGGATTCATCTGGATATTCGGAAGGCTGAACTTGCCAAGATGAGAAGATCCCCAGATTTGCTTTGATTTTTCTCTCTGCTTTTTAAAGATAAATAAACTGGAAGAGCAGTCTGTACAGAAGGTGCTGGAATTATGGTCAGAATGAGATCCACGTGCTGGTATTTTTTTATGGCCCCACAGCATTGCTTGAGATGCTGGGAGGTTTTCCCCTCCTTGCAGCAGGAAGGAAGATCCCAGTTCCACAATCACAGGTTAACTGAGTGATCTGCAAGGGGGCCTGAGCAGCAGCTAAAGAAGAAAAAAAGATGTGTCACCACTTGCAGGGTGAACTGCAAGGGAAGAGAGCACAAAGAAAACCCTGCAGGCGTTACGTGGGGGAAGCTGAGGCTGCAGGTTTGCCTCTCTGGGGGGGTTGTTTCTGATCCAGCACATTCCTTCCTCTCACGAGGTGTTAAACACAGAATTAAACCGGTTAAAAATGAGGCAGGTCCCACTTGACTCCAGTACACTCCACAGGTATTTCCATCACTTTAGAGGTGACATTCTGGCCACCTTCTGGAGACACTGACCCTGCAGTTGATGTATCGAGAAGTCCCTCCCAAACAGCTCATGACAGCTCTGTCTGGAGGGAGATCACCCCCAGTGGTGTCACCCCCTGCCCTGCCGTGACATCGCACACATTGACACGACGTGACACCTTTGTCACAGGATGCTGGGCTGTTACTTTGTCCAAGGGCAGCAGTTGTAACTGTCCCTGCATTTGCACACCAGGGCAGAGCAAACACAGTTGTTCTCACGTGCCGGTCCTGCCATGTGTCTGTTGTGTAAATGGACAGTTAATTAAGTTGCCTTCATAGAGCTTTGTAAAAAATCTATTAAACAAAGAATCCCTGGCATAAACAAACAAACCTGGATCACAGTTTCAGCTCTTTGACCTCTTCAGTGGATTTTCTGGTTTTATCAGGAGAGCTTCTTTACATTTTTCCTAATTTGCCGCCAATATTTTAGAAGCTGTTAAAAAAAAAAAAATTAAAAAGAAGGATGAGATTTGGCAGTGATTATTGTAAGTCTGTTCAGAATACAGGAGGAAGGTTAATTAGCTTTTCTGACCTGAAGAGTCTAGGAAGGTATCCCTGGTGACTCACTAATTGCTGCTCAATGCATAATAGTGTCTGTGAAGCAGAGTGCAGGGAGCTAGACACTGATAATAATGTTACTGTGATTTAAAATTCTATACCTGCAAGGACATAATGCTGTTTCAGTACAGCATGCACTCCACTGATAGATCTAAATATTCCCCAGCTATTCATTTATTTTATTGGCAATTCTGGTCACTGATCTTAATTTGAATTTATACCAAGTACAAGTGTGTTTCCCAGGTTGAAAGTGAAGTGCTATTTAGGGTATCATCAAAGCACACTCTGAAATTGTTTTCTCATGTGTAGTAAACATTTCCATTAAGACCAGTGTAAGGGCTAGAGTTGACTTATTAATTTATTCAAAGGATAGATCACTTTTATAAATATAAACAAAGAATTAGTCCATGTTGGGAAAGATATCCCTAACCATAAGAAACAGAGATATTGTGTTATCTTTGATAATGGTGTGAGACCAACAGAGCATAGGAATTTTAGGACACGTGTGGAATCAAGCTCAGAGAGTATCAGATGGATGTTCAGTGTACATGTCCTTCCTTTTGATGTTTATCAATTGACACGTAATGATGAGGATTTTAATAGGCAGAATGGATGTGCACGATTAGTTCAGTTAATCAGTAGCTGTCAGGTCTGTTTCTTTAAAGTCCCCCAGAGAATAAAATACAAATTAGCTCTCTTTAGAAGGTCCTGTAGTGTAGGTTTCTTGATAGCCTTTTGTCTAGAATTAATTTTTAAACTTTGCTTGATAACTGTAAACATATTTTTCATGCAAGAGTTTTCTCTGGTGCTTGTGGTGCAAACTTCTTTAAACAGGTATTTTTCAGATGCTCTTTGGATCAGCTATAAAACATTTCTCCAGCAATCTGTCCTTCCATAACAGATTCCTACAGGAATATGATCATCCAAGGCTCATTTGGATTAAGCCCATCACTCCCAGTTTCCTGGTCATTGTTGAAAAAGAAAATGTGTCATTCACAGCTTCAACTGCATAAATGTGGTACATTAACAAGCTCCATCACACCATAGACTGAACTGATAAACTTCTAATATATAACCAGTATTTTCCTCTCAGCAGCTGATAGCACAGTTCAAGGGGAGGTGTGCAGTTATCCTCACCCATCTGCCAGTTTATTCCCCACAGACCTTCCTTGCACCTCTTCTACCCTGAGCCAGGTGATAAAATTGAGCCAGACCTACAAATTAGGAGGATGCTGACCCGACAGGAAAACCTCAGGCAACACCTCCCCATTCAGGCTGTTGGAGATGAAGCAGTGGGAAGGAAAGAATGTCAGTGCTCAGACATTTCTTCTGCTAAGGCTGGACATTCTATTCCTGTTCTTCTGCTGAGCTATAAATGTAATTAAACAGCAGGACTGACAGATCTGCCTTGCCCACTGTGTGTTAGAACAGCTCACCAGGGGCTCAGGTGAGAACAGACCACGGGGTTCAGTTTCCTTAGAAACTTCTGCTCCTCACACAACCAAACAGCCGTTCTGGGAAGGTTTCTGCTGTCCCTGGGCAGGCTGTGGGCCTGCTGCTGCATGGACATGAACACCCCCTACCTAACACCCCTGTTCCACCAGGCGCACCAGTCAGTGCTCCCAACCCCTAGGGAGGTTTGGGAGAAAAGAGGAACAGCTGCTCAGGTCTCCTTTTCTCTCATTCCCTGTGTGTCTATACCTTGATTCCAGACACAGCCCTGTCTGTCAGCTATTGACAGCAACAGGAGCAACACAGGTTTGCTTCTGTGCTTTGGCAGCCTTAACCTACACTCCTACTCACTGTGCCTGAGCAATCTGCAGGTTGGTATTTACTCAATCAGCATTATGGCACCCGTATCTTTGTCCTGCCCTCCTCTTTTCCCTGTCATTCCTATCTCAGCTCATCAGATACCCAGCAGCTTGACAGATAAGACATTGCCAAATCACAAAAGACCTTACCTGTGTCTCGA